CCATCAAACAAAAGATAGGAAATAAAAAACTGAACTTTTATATAAAAAGCTCTCTTAGCCTATTGAGACTTAGCCTGCAGTTCACTGTGATAACTAAAAATATTAAAATCTTCATACATCCATACATTATCTTTGAATATTAATTGTAAGGAAGAACATGATAACAGGGAACCAGCATGCATTGCAAAGTATTGATGACCTTGTGCTGTAAGCTAATAACATCAAATGTATTGTAGGCAGTGAACATTTCAAGCTGGAAGAGTAACTATATTTCTCTGTATGTTGTTATCAGCACAATAAAAGACACTTAGCATGTGATTAGTACAACATATGATGAGCCTTCAATTATTTGTTGTCATCATTGAACTGTGTGCTAAATGATGAAGATCTCATACTCTACTCATACTCCAAAATTATGGGTTTTATCAATATTGAATATAAGGAAATGATATATCAAAATGATTAGAATCAGTATTATTGCATCTCATCCACTCTTCTCTCGTCGCCACACCACCTTTCACAAACTATTTTCTTTGTAACTCTTTTTCCGCTGGAAACTGTACAAAAGTATAACCACAAGTCTCACACGTAGGTGATGTCGGTCTGCATTCTTCTCCTAGCTGCTGAAGACATCTCTCCAAACCAGTGGCGGAAATAATGTAGAGAGGGCACTGGTGCAATACTTTTCTTTTTTGGGCCCCCTCGCCAGCATAGCTAGATTCCCATCTGTCGTACATCTCCAATGATGCATTGCTAGCCGGGAATCTACCAATTGACCATCCTTGCAGGGTTCTATTTTGTGGGCAGTTTTTGCACCGTTGGCATTTGAATGTAGTTATGCGTTTGTATGTACTGTTGCCACTTGAACGCAGTGCCATACTGGTGTGTAGTGTGTTTGAATGCAGGAGTGTGTTTGTATGTAATTTTGGTATTTGAATACAGGGGAATGTTTGCATACACTGTTGTCATTATAATACAGGGGTATATTTGTATGTAGTGTTGGTGTTTGATTGGAGGGTGTGCTTGTATGTAGTGTTTATGCTTGAATTTGAATGTTTTGATGTATACACACATACATATACGTCAGCGCACACACTGACACGCACAGATATACATACACATTGATACACACATATAGCCACACTGACACACTTATATATATACATATAGACTAATACACACAGATACACATATACTCACACTGACACATATACAGATACACAGACAATGGAACACACACATAAATATACACACCCTGACACACAGAGACACACAGATACAGCTACATAAGTTGCAACTTAAATTATTTTATTCCCCCTCAGCTTCCATATGCTTTGGATACAGGAGGGTGGCTTCCTGGACTGGCTGAGGATGATGGGTGTTTGGGGCTGCATGCGGGGCTCTCCCTCCTCCCCCCTCTGTGGCTGCTCCGTACTCCAAGCCATGATCTGTAAACTAGGAGGAAGTGACAGAAAATCTCTTAATCCCAGCAGTAGACCTGACCGGACCCTTGATAAGACCCACCTCCCTATCGGGTTTTGCCATAAGTTTATGGGCTACACGATGGACCTCCAAAGCGTGCTGGCCTCTGTGTTGCCGCACCGGCTAAATTGGTGGTAGTTCTGACACTGCTCTAAACCCAAGCCATTCTATCTACCTGCTACCAATCTTGCTTACATCACAACTATGCAGAAAATAAATACTATACCAATGGATGGATTGCATCTAAACGGAAGAGGGTCTGCTGTGCTGGGGGATAGGATGGCTAGAAGGTTGGAGGAGATTTTAAACTAGTAGTAGGGGGGGAGGGTAAAAACAATCTAGAAAATGGAGATAGGATAGAAAGGAGATGGGCTTTAGCTCAGAACAAAGGGGGTGGAGATGGGGGAGGGGGAGCTCAGAACAGATGAGGGATGTAATATTGATAATTCACAAAAAGTACAAATGACTCATTGCAATATTAAATGTATGCTTACTAATGCAAGGAGCCTATATAACAAAATGGGGGAACTAGAGGCAATAGCATACAGTTGACACGCTCACCTTTTCTCTGGGAAGTTGGGCGAGTCGATGGGTGCAGCGACACCTCAGTGTGCACTTCCCGTCAGTCCGGGCCCAGACTGGAGAGAGAGAGCCTGACACAAAGGGGAGGTGAGTGGTTACGCCATGGGAGATTACAGGGAGGGGAGGGAGAGATGGGGAGAAATGTTACAGGAGGGGAGGGTGGGAGGGGGTTTGGGGGGGGAGAGAGAAGATTGGAGGAAAGGGAGGGGGGAGAAAGTTACAGGGAGGGAGAAGATGGGGGGGGAGTGGAGAAAGTTACAGGGAGGGAGGGAAGAAGATTACAGGAGGGAGGGAGTGGGAGGAGAAGTTACAGGGAGGGAGGGGAAAGATTACTGGGGGGTGAGAAAATACAGGGAGGGAGGGGGGTGGAGAAGGTTACGGGGGAGTGGAGAAAAATTACAGGGAGGGAGGAGTGAGAAGATTAAGGGGGGGGAGAAGATTACAGGGGGTAGGGAAGATTACAGGGAGGGAGGGGAGGAGAAGGCCCCTTCACGTTCTTAAATGCTGCAGCTGTCTGAGCTGTAGAGAGCCGTTTTTCAGGCGCTGCAGCATTGCCCACCTCCCCTACCCAGTGTGCACTTCCTGTCAGTCCCACGCTGGTCGCTGGACCGGAGAAGAGCTCGCCATGCTACAGGGCAGGGGAGGTGAGGATGGATGATTGGGGGAAGATTATAGGGGGAGGTAGGAAGTTACAGGAGGAAGTTACAGGAGAGGATTGGGGAGGATGATTGGGGAGTGGAGAAAGTTACAGGAGGGGGGGAGAGAGGTGAAAGGGGGGAGTGGAGAGAAAGTTACAGGAGGAGGGGAGGAGATTGCAGGAAGGAGGGGAGTGGGAGAGAAAGTTACAGGGAGGGGGAGAAGATTAGCAGGGGAGTGGAGAAAATTACAGGGATGGAGGGGGGAGTGGAGAAGATTACAGGGAGGAAGGGGGGAGTGGAGAAGGTTACGGGGGGGAGAAGATTATGGGGGGAGTGGAGAAAATTACAGGGGGGGGGAGTGGAGAAGATTACAGGGGATACTGAATTAGTTATTTGTTATAGTACAATATTACAATATATACGGTCCTTATAATTGAAATCTTGTACCTTATAACAGAAAAAGAAACATAACTAACAGGCTATGATGAATGGCACTTAGTTATAATGGCACTTTACTCCTAATAATAGGAAATAAAGTTATAGAATGCAAGTGCTGATGTATAAAAAATAATTTATTATAAGATAAACTTAGAATAAAAATGCAAAAAATGCACTCACACTGTGTAAAATAATTAGCTGGGTTGGAATCAGGAGGAAGGTGTAAGCAGCTGATAGAAATATGCTGTCCTGTCTTCAGACGGATGAATGGATGAGTTATCCTCAAGCCGCGTGCGTTTCACCGATCTCACCTTCTGCGTTCCAGATGTAACTCGACTGGTTATAAGGGGATCAAATGCAGGAATTCTCTTTGAACATCAAAGTAATTGGTACTAATCAGCAAAATAGGTAGAGGTAGTATAACAATATACACTTAACTTGCTATGAATGTTTGTGTTGATGATGTCAGCTACCCCTTTAAAGCTCCTTCTGGATAGCTTTTTCTTTTTATCCCATATAAAAAAATAATAATACACAAGTAGGGCTTCAACTTTTCCTAAATAAAAATATAGATGCAAACCATAGTGAAGTACTATTACATTCTATATTGCCCTCCATTTGAGTTCATCACAGGAATACTCGAGGGACAACGGTGTAGGTAAAAGAAGAATTTATTTAAATGGTATATATAAAAAGACAACAAAAAACGTCCTACACGTTTCATCCAGTTGCCTTGGACTTCCTCAGGGATCCCTTAATATTAAAACATATAAAAACTTATAATAAATGCCATTAACAAATGTGCCTATGCAGGCACGTTTGGAGAATCCAAACAGAGGAGACGTGCAGGCAACTCATTGAGAAAACTCAGATTAGTTTGAAGGCATTTTATTTCCTAAATTCTGTGAGTGCAATTTATATCTATGGCACATTATAGAATGTAATAGTACTTCACATGGTGTGTATTTCTATTTCTATTTAGGAAAAACTCAAGCCCCACTTGTGTGCTATTTACGTTCGTAATAGTACTGTACAAAAGGATACAGTTGAAGATACAAGAGAGGAGATTTTACCTATGGCAGAGGTAAGGTTTTTTTTACAGGAGGAACAATAAAGATTTGAAATCTTTTGCCTAGAGAGATTGTTATATTCACAGATTTTTAAACAACACCTGGGTGCTTGTTTTTGGAAAAACAGAATATTCAAGGAGACAGTATTTAATATGTGGATCACAGCTTGTTGATGCAAGGTGAAACCAGACTGTGCTCTACCTGTATATAACAAATTGACTTCTGTTAAATACTGTTTCATTTCTAGCAGTATAAATCAACTGGTACTTACTGAAACATGGTTAACATCCTCAGACCTTACCTCTTATGCTGCCCTTCTCCTACGGTGGCTTACACCTCTCCTGTGCTAGCAATAGCAAGGGATGTTGTGATGGTGGTGTACTTCTCTGATCTCATTCCATCCACTTGTTCTCCTTCCTTCGTACTGCATACCCCATCTTCCTTCTCTCATTTTCCTCTTTTGAAGTCTTAAGCTTTTCTTTCTTTAAAAGGGACACTATAGGCAACCAGACCACTTCAGCTCAATGTACTTGTCACTCTTAGTCTTGCAATGTAAATCATTGCAGTTTAGAGAAACGGCAATGATTACATTGCAGGACTAAGACTGCCTCTAGTGGCTGTCAATCAGACAGGGGATTAATGAATGTTCAGCGCTCACTGTGCATGAAGAAAACCCAGGGAGACTATAGGTGATGTCAGAGGGATTTTATAGTGTAGTGTACAACTTTGTTTTGGGACTGCTTAATGCAGTTATCTCATTTTCCTGATCAGGCCATGCTCTCTCTCTACAGCTAGATGGGTTCATGAGGTGGAAGAAACCAGCAGTATGAAGATTTGGTGGCTGACTCAGTCAAGGCCAGGGTGCGTAACACACAGAGGTGGTTTTATTGGCTGGAGTTTCTCTCCTCCCCGGAAGTTGCCTGGTACTTGGACACTTGAGGTCATGATTCCCAGACAGTGATACATTTTTACATTGTGCCTTCGTGGCTTTGACTGCACATTTGTCCCTAAATTCCCATTGCTGCCTTTACCCATTTTCCACACGACTGCCAAATGTATTAATTATCTTTTTTTTCTCTTTTCTTCCATCCTAACTTCATGACATTTTCCTCTCCATTTAGTGTGTACCGGTTCTCTGGTTTACTTGTTCTTGAGAGACTAAAATATAACTTCTTTAAAAATTTGTGCAAAATACATAAAAGTTTATTCACTAAAGTAAGAAGTGTCAGGAATTCGTAGTGGATTCAAAGTGAATTTCACATTTATGGTTAAAATATTTTTAAATGAACTATAAAAACCCTCCCAGTGAGCTATGTATCTGTGTTCAAGCCTTTTTTGCCCTAACATTTGAAAATTTAATGGCCTCATTTTCATGCTATGCTGGTAAAGAAAACATTTTGGATGGGATTTTCATTCAGAAGAATTTTGTTCATCTCGCCATTAGCTTACTCTTCCATTTTGCCATTCATAGGTGCGGAATGAGGACAAATGGAAGAATCGCCTGATTTTAATCCGAATTGTGATTCTTCTGAAAAATGACTGCCCAAATCTATTAACAACTAGATGATCATTATGGCTATATTATCCTGACAGGATGCCATGGTCCACTGCTGCTTTCACGATCTCCATGCTGACAGTCTTTTTCTATTTACACTGACCCCCATTTAGCATTTCCTACTATGTAAATTGAATTAAAAAGCCTGTTTTCTGATTAATTGCCATAGCAACTGAACCAGCACTACAAAATGTTCTCTTTTCTTATGTACACTTCTCCTATGAAGCTTTAAGTGAGTTGCCTCTAAGAGTTTATTGACTTAATAGCAAAATGTCAGTAATTAAAAACATAATTGCATGTATTTACAAATAAAGCTCGAGCCAAGGTGTAACTGCAATTTAGCAATTTGGTTTTTGAATTCCCTACAATTTGCTATTTAGTGAAAAAAATCCCAATAGATTTTCGTATACCTGACTTGTGACATATCACAGGTATTTACTGAAAATGGTATAAAGCTTGTTTATAGATGGGATTTAGTGCTAAAATGCGTAAAAAATAGAATACATTTGTTTCTCTCGGATGTAGCTGAAATTGCTGCCAATGGTAGTTATACCAAGTATCTTATCAAGGGGTTAATACTTGGACGAAAACCATATGTCTGTAACTTTTCTTGTTTACAATAAAATAAAATATCTGTGTTACAATAAAATATTTGTATAGTTCAAAGTGTTAGGTATGTGTAACTGAAATGTTAAAAATCCAAGTGGAATAAATATTTGTTTCAACTTGTAACATTACAAAATATGGCAATGTCTTAGAGCATGGGTAGGCAACCTTTTACTAGTACTGTGCAAAACTGAGGTTTTGAAGTCCCTTGGCGTGCTGGTACATTTTTTTTTTAAATTAAGATGTGTATGTTGCCGTATTCTTCCTGTGTTATTTGTGGGTGCTACAGTTGCTTTGTAGCATTGTATTTGTGCCTATGTGGCCTGTTATATTGTATAGAATACGTTCATGAGTAGTTTGTGGCATTATGTATGGTTGTGTATGATACCTCTGAATGGGGGCTGTGGAATTGTGTGTGGATGGTACATTGTCACATTGTGTGTTTGGTGTGTGTATATGTGTGTTTGTGCATGCATGTGGTTGTGTTGTGTTTGTGGGGACTGTGTGTTTGTGTGTGGACTGTTTCTATTATTTGTATAAGTGCAAGGCTTATTCTGCAGCTCTGTGTATATCTAGTAGTGTGGGTAACTTCCCTCTAGCCCAGTAGGGACCAGGCTGGCCAGGTACAAGTCAAGGACAGGAGCTGCAATAGTTGCTGTAGGTTGCTCTATTCCAGAGGGGGGGGGGGGGGGGGGGTTCGTTCAGCAGTGCTGGGATATAGAAATCTGAGATCACTTCCTCTAAATGCTGCAAAACGTAAATTGAGTATTTGCATTCACCATCTGCAATCACCAGTCGGTTTGCACTAAGGACTCCTGATAAGCCGTGCCTGTTTGGCTCTGGTAGCATTGAGTGCCGTACAAAGGCACCCCGAGTGCCATGCATGCCACACGTGCCGTAGGCTGCTGACCCCTGTCTTAGAGGGTGAATACTGTAACGGCTTATTGGTTTATTCAAAATACTTTTGTTGTAATATTGTCTTATATCTCGTTGTTATTATTGTTTTGAACTGTACATTTTCAATATATTATTTATTTGGTAAACAAAAATAATGAGGTGGAGCAGTTTCCAGGCACAAATCATTTTAATTAAAGCAATTATACAAACAGGACATTATGAGAATCCCAAGAGTGATGTCCATGTCAGACGTTATGTATGGCAGCAGTAACTAAGAAACGCTGAATTGTATGAATACCTACCTTTACCAACACATATGTAACGTCAAATGCATACGTCCTTTGAACACGACAATTCTCTCTGTATAAGACTATGCTTTTTTGTGTCTGACAAATATGTATATTTTCTCTTGACTGTCCATAAATGAAAAATTAAAAAAAAAAAAAAAGGCATTCTAGTTCTGCTAAGCCCAGATGAAAACCCAGAAAACACGGAGGCAATAAGGCATCAATAAAAGAAGACTGACATCAAGTTTAATAATGATTTGGGCAGACACCAGACACCTGCACCAGGTCAGAATTAAGACCATTTGTGGAGAAAGACTGATGTAAAAGCTACAGATATAATGTAGGGTAAATCACCAAAATATCTATATTTGAGAATAAAATCTCTCTGCGACACAAGGATTCTTATCTATGTTTTATGAAATCCTATTGGTGGGGAGATAGTATGTCTGGCACAAAAAAATCTGCATCCTTGCTGGATCATATTTGTTTGGGTGTTGTGCTTTTTTTGTTATGCAATTTTGAGTTTTGTTCCACTATATGAAGACATCCATTCAAAGTGGTAAACCTCAGCACATAAAACTGTGATTCTTGCAGATTGTCATCAGCCTTTTGTCTATTACAATAGCACTTCACCTACTGACATGTCTTGTGAATTGCACCCTTAGCTATATTTACCATAGTGTACTTATCTTGACCTTGCTACACTAAATGCATACATAGGCAAAATACTTTAATGCATTTGCAATCATGACTGCAACTTTTTTCCATAGTAAATATAAACTATTTAATCCTGATATATGTATTTCAAAATTACAAAAATAATTTGATAGCTAAAACAATAAGAATAACCAGACGTCCAGACATTTATCGATCAGATTTATAGCACAATTCAAATGTTCCAGACAAAGCCAAATGTAATTACTTATTTTCCTTAGATACAAATGTCCCCAGTGGCATCCGGATTCTTTAATGCAGTTTCAGGAAGCGTGGCGTGCTGCTAGACTGGGTCGCGGCTAATTGGCTTAGAGCGGTCAGCTTAGAGCCAATTGAGTGCAGATATACTTGTAAAATAGTGTTAATTTTGATGTTTTCATACCTCAGATATTTAAAGTGTTCCTCCAAGGTTGCTTTAACATGTGTTAATTTTACTGCAAATTGGTTGACAACTATTGGCTCTTACTGACAACTTTTTTTTATAATGCTGCATCATCTGTTTTTGTCCAAGGTCCAATCAAATGTTTCTCATAGATAAACAATTGTGCACCTTGGATGCATGAGTGGGAAGCTAAAGTGAAGGGGAGAGGGATATAAGAGCTCAATGTTAGGAGGTAGGGAAGGCTGGGCAGAGGAAGGCAAAACATTTAAGGAGGGATGTTGTCCATGGGCGTTCGGGGGGTGGGGATTTTTCAGTTTGTGCTGGTATTTTTCTTTTGAAATTGATAATACACTGCAATACCGGCGCCAGCTCCCGGCTGCAAAGACAGCCTACAGATCAAGTAAGTGAGGCATGGGGGGGTGGCGTGCAGCCTACAGATTAGGTAAGTGAGGCATGGGGGGGCAGCCTACAGATCAGGTAAGTGAGGGAAGGGGGGAGACAGCCTACAGATCAGGTAAGTGAGGCATGGGGGCAGTGTACAGATCAGGTAAGTGAGGTATGGGGGCAGCCTACAGATTAGGTAAGTGACATATGGAGGGGCAGCCTACAAATCAGGTAAGTGTGGGATGGGGGAGCAGCGTACAGACCAGGTAAGTGAGGGATGGGGGCAGCCTACAGGTCAGGTAAGTGAGAGATGGGGGGGGCAGCCTACAGATCAGGGAAGTGAGGGATTGGGGACAGCCTACATATTAGGTAAGTGAGGCATGGGGGGCAGCGTACAGATCAGGGAAGTGAGGGATGGGGGCAGCCTACAGATTAGGTAAGAGAGGCATTGGGGGGGCATCCTACAGATCAGATAAGTGAGGGATGGGAGCAGTATACAGATTAGGTAAGTGAGGCATGGGGGGGCAGAATACAGATCAGGTAAGTGAGGGATGGAGGCAGCATACAGGAAGGGTCAGCAAGGAGCAGGAAGGTAAAATAGGAGAAGGAGCAGAACGGAGAAGGAACATAAATGAGCAGGAAGGAACATCAAGGAGCAGAAAGGGTCAGCAATGAGCTGGAAGGGACAGAAGGAGCAGAAAGGTAAAGTAGAAGGAGCAGAAAGGAACAGAAATGAGCAGGAAGAGGCAGTAAGGACCTTCTCATCTTCTCAGGTAAAAAAAAATCTCAGTGTTAATGTGTCTTTTATTTACTGAGTGTCAGGAAGCACAGAGTGCCGTTGGGTATGGGTGTCGCTGATTGGCTAGAGCGGTCAGCTGGCACTCTAAGCCAATTGGTAGCTCCCCATTCACAAAAAGTAAAACATTTTTATGAACCGGGAACTAGCGATTAACTTAGAGCGTCAGCTGACTCTAGCCAATCAGTGGCACCCATGCCTGACTTTAATCTACACTTCCTGACACTCAGTTTCATAAGCCAAATACCACTGAGCGAACTGGAGATCTGGAGCTGGAGGAAGTCTTTGGGGTTAAACCATTTGAGAGAGGTTTAACCCCTTAAAGGAAAGAGAGCACCCAGGTCCTCCTGGCATCGTAGCATTTTCATTTAGATGAAGTTGTTATGGTGACCAGAATGTTCCTTTAATTTGCTTAAAGGAACACTGTAGTGTCAGGGATACAAACATGTATTCCTGACACCATAGTTGTGAAAATGCTATTTACCCTAGCTTTATGTGATAATGAGTATGCCCCTCCCCTTCATGACACTGTCAAAAAGGTGCCAAACATGGATGTCATTATAATTATTCTCCCCCCCCCCCCCGGGAAAAATTCCTGCAGACGCCCATGATGTTGTCTATGGGGGACAGCATTAGGTAAATACCTTCCTTTGTACCCTGGGCCAACACAACCCAAGTGGGGTTGCCACCTTCAGGGGTCTTTGCAAAGTCAAGCCATGACAATATTAACTAGATGCAGTAAACAATGTCTGGCACTTAAGTTAAACAAAGTAAGCAAAATATTAATCAACTCAAGTTTGCAATCTCTCATGTGATTGTCCTTTTACAGTACAGAATGTGATGAATACACTGAGGTTACTAGAGTTTCTTGGCATTTATGCTGCTTTCTTAAACCTTCAACTAATGCCAGCATCTACACAGTTTCTTTTTCAGTAAATTAATTTAGTTACAGTTTAATAAGGACCAAAAACAAGTCCTGCGCTCATACTCCTACTACTCTTGGACAGCAACAAACAAAGTACACATCAGCCCCAATACATAAAGAAAAAAGTTACTTGCGCTTTTCCCAAATGCCTATGCATGTTTAAACAAATGGAGGTTATTTAGTTACTCCAATGGCCATGAGGGGGGACGCCCACCTGCCACGTCAAGGCAAACCTCTTAGGTGGGTCTTACACTGACTACTCACCTTACTTCCTTGATCTTCTGGCAAATCTATCTCTATTTAGACAGATAGAGGTTTTTTTTTTTTTTTTTTTATAAACCCCTAGAGGGTTAATTAGCATGTAGGGGTTTACTGTATGTATTGGGGCTGATGTGTACTATTGGAAAAACAAGGGGCTGGCTGCACTCACCTGAGCATGCTTAAATTGGGTGCTGCTGGGTGCCAATAAGTACAGTAAAAATGAAAATCCAGTGCACTCCCTTATCTACTAAACAGCTACTTTGGTGCTGACAGATTTTGCTAGTTTTATTAAAAACACCTAATCTAGGAAAAACATAATGGGGGTTTAGTTACATTATATGATCATACATAGCATAAACCTACCACAAGGTCATGGTACCCCATCTTTGGCAGGTCCTACTCTTACAACCAACTGTCTACTAAATGAGCTACTCACCTGGGGAAATCCTTCCATCTCGAGTTCTCTGCAGTACAAGGCTTAAATAGGGTCCTGAGATGAGGCACCTGTGACAGGGAGGGGTGTGACAGGGAGCACCAAAGTAGCTGTTTAGTAGATAAGGGAGTGCGCTGGATTTTCATTTCTACTGTACTTATTGGCCCCCAGCAGCACCCAATTTAAGCATGTTCAGGTGAGTGCAACCAACCCCTTGTTTTCCCATATATATATATTTAGGAGTCTAGCCAGCTCCTTGGTTTTGCACCCCTCCCTGTCACAGGTGCCTCATCCCAGGACCCTATTTAGCCTTGTACTGCAGAGAGCCCCAGATGGAAGGCTTTCCCCAAGCGAGTAGCTCATTTACTAGACAGTTGGTTGTAAGAGTAGGACCTGCCAAAAATGGGGTACATTGACGTTGTGGCAGGCTTATGGAATGATCATATAATGTAACTAAACCCCCATTATTTTTTGCCTAGATTAGATGTTTTTAATAAAATTAGCAAAATCTGTCAGCACCAAAGTAGCTGTTTAGTAGATAAGGGAGTGCGCTGGATTTTCATTTTTACTGATGTGTACTATTGTCATTGCGGTCGCCCAAGAGCAGTGGGAGTTTGAGCGCAGGACTTGTTTTTTTGTCTTTGTATTCACTTTTTGTATCACACAGCTATGTTACCATGCTGCTGCCCACCCCATAAGTTCCCTATTAAGGGTTAATAAGCATCTAGTCGGTCCTCTCACACCTCACCCCTCTGCCAGTCCTTACATTGGCTCCCTGTATCCTATAGGAGTCAGTTCAAAGTGCTAACCCATACATTCAAAGCACTGAACAATTCCAGCCTCTCTTATATCTCTTCTCAGATCCACAGGTATGCCCCTCCTCGTTTCCTCCGCTCTGCACGTGACCATCTCCTGACCAATGCTCGCACCCGTACGGCCAACTTTTTGTTAGATAAGAACTAAGAACGTGTGGTATATCAGTTCCTACATCTTCTATGGCAAGGGTAGACAACCTTCAGCACTCCAGATATTGTGGACTACCTCTCCCACAATGCTCTTACAGCCATAATGCTGGCAAATGATCAGAGAAGATATAGTAACATAGCTGAAAAGAGACTTGCGTCCATCAAGTTCAGCCTTCCTCACATTTGTTTTTTGCTGTTGATCCAACTTCGGGAATGCTGAAGGTTTGCATAATTCATTTGTCAGTCCCATATCATGTTTCCAATAAACATTTTTTTATAGAACTTTGTAATCCTTTATTATATACAGCAGAAGGGAGGCCTGGCAACCTTTGGCCTGGAAGTGATCAGTATTTCAATATAACCAACACAGCATTAAGGGGGTTACTGGGGAGTACTGACTCGTGCTGCTCTCCCCAATACTCCTCTGTTGCTTTTAGTAGAAGGATAATGCAGTTGACAAATATGCTATAAGCCTGTGGTCCACGACTTCTATGCCAGTCTCAAGGATGCAATTATTCCCCCCACCCCACCCCTGTTGCTTACATTTCCTTGAGTAAGAGCTTTATCATATGCTCTGTGATTAAACTTACTATTAGTTATTGTTTGTACATTTAAGAAACTTGTTTTTGTGGTAAGTGAATGTAATGGTTTAATGCTTTTGCTTTTTATAAAATATTTATGTCTTCTAAGAAATCCTAAGCGTACAGAGTATTTCTTCTTTTTGAGTCACCTAGGCTAGCACTTACAGTGTTGAACAGTACATAATGTTTAAACAAATGTTAGAAACAATACAGTACAATACTGAATGATCATCTGATTCAGTGAGCCGAGACATCACACTAAACAATGAGGTAAAATGACCTATATCACACATTAATCAATGAATGTATACACAAAAATAAGAACTTTAAGTCCATTATTTGTTTCCTCATCAGAAAAGGGACAGCATGTACAGCATGTAGCATCGCTTTCATGTGCCTTTTATCATCACATATTTTCTTCACACCGTCATATAGCACTTTAGGAAATTATTACACATAGACAAAATAGTCTTAATATTTATGTTCTCATTCATAAATAATTAATAATTACACACAATTGGAAACAAATTTGCAACAAATAATTTGAACTAGACAGCAATATTAGAAGTAGTCAATCTGATTTTCATTTTTTGTTTTTGTTTTTATTTTGAATATATATGGACATATAGACACTTCTTAAATGGATCAGGCTGTAGCAGCTGCCATGTCTGGGAAAGAGTATAAATCAAGTGCAGAATCCACTCTCTTTTGGTAGCAGAATGGCCCTAGGTTTGCCATATCGGTAGTTGATTTAGGCCACCTATAATAATAATAAAAGCATGCTTTAGAGGTGTATTTTAACTAACTCTCCTAGGAAGTAAGACTTTTACAGGCATCTCTAAATCATATCTTGACATGACAACCATTAAGTTTTCCACACTGAAGCCCCAATAACATTCAAACTGACATTTTCCAGCAACAACATATCAACGACAAATCAACGAATGTCAGATTTATGCTTATTTTTTATTCCTAATAAAGTTTAAATGCTGTGTTTTTTGGGGGATATCTAGGGCTAACGGCATTTTAATGGAGTGGTAAGTCACACAAGCTCACAGAGTAATGTGTATTGTCAACATAATAACAGTTATAAGTGGCATGGAATCATTTTCCGTAGCAGTGATAGCCACGTGTACTGCCAAGTGACAGCTGGAGTGGTGTAGTGCATGCTTCCTTTGGATTTGGGAGTAGTGGAAATACACACCTGAATGATGAATTACCACCTGGCCACACAAAGGATCACTGAGAGTCTGATGCATAGTGCCAAATGTGAAGTATTCTGGAGAAAAATTAATGGGCCTTGCTCTTACTATGATGTTACAAGATTTTAGGCAATTTTATAAGAGGGCCCATTAATTAATTAATTAATTAATTAGTGTGACCCCTGTTCAAAGTGAGAAGCACACTAAAATTGTGTGTCCATGTCAGGATTGAAAAACCTGAATGTGCTGCCCAACCCACAACTTCACAATCATATTGAACACGTTTGGGATATTTGGAACACCAAATGCAGGTAGTATACAGCATGTTTTAGAATAATTGTCACATAATTGTGGCCCATTTTATTAATACACTTACTCCTGAATGGAACACCTGTAGAAATCCCCACTATCTAGCAGAAAGCCTTCCTAGAAGAGTAAAGGCTGTCATTGTAGTAAATGTGGACCAAGTCCATATATTAACATTCATGATTATTTAATAACATGTTTGATTAGCAAGCAGCCACACACTTCTTGACATTAAATAGCATATCTTAATTTAGTATATAAATGAAATTGTACATCTTAACAGGGATGTCAAAATGTAAAGGTAACTAACATAAAACTAGCATTTGTATATAATCAATGCTTCAGTACAACTACCTTGGCATATTAAGGAAAGTTTTGTAATTGGACTGAAATTGTGAATGCATGCTATTGCACAGCAGTAACAAAATTACGTTATCTTGCTCATTTTGAAGTAACAAGACTGTGCTCTTCACTTTGACTGACAACTGGATGAGCTCAGTCAATGCCAATTCTATTCCCAAAGGAAAGCATTGGGAGGCTATTGCGCATGTGTGGCAAAATGCTGTGCTTCACTGCACCAATCAGCATCTCCTCATAGATTTGCATTGCATCAATGCATCTCTATGGGGAGCATTCAGCACCTCCATGTAGAGAGTGGAGATGCTTATACTAAAAAAACAGAACCACTACAATAAGCTGTAGTAGTTCTGGTGACTATAGTGTCCCTTTAATATGAATTATGTCTCTCACCAGTCAGTTCTAAATTACGGGGAGAGCAGGAGACACAAGTGAAGATGCACTTTGTTTGTGTATTTCTCCCCCAAAACCCCTTTCATGTGTCGCTTAGCCCCAACCCGTTTGTCTCTTTCTCCCCTTCCCCAGTCCTTCTGTGAGTCTCTTTCCCAGGCCGCAGCACCTCTGTGTGTCTCTTTCCCCACAGCTCCTCTGTGTGTCTCATTCTCCCCTTCCCCAGTCCCTCTGTGTATCTTTTGTTAGTCTTTCTCAGCCCCTCTCTCTCTTTCTCCTCAGACTCCTCTGTGTCTTTTTTTCTCCACAGACTCCCCATGTGTCTTATTACTCCCCTATCTATCAATGTGTCTCATTACCCCCATCCCCTTCATGTGTCTTATTAGCAACCCCCATTTGTCATATTAGCCCCCCCAGCCTTGTATGTGTCTCATTAGCCCTCCCATGTGTCTCAATAGCAACCCCATGTGTCCCATTAGCCCCCCCCAGCCCTCCATGTGTCCCTATAGCCTCTTCAAGCACTCCATGCATCCCATTAGCCCCCTCCCAGCCCCAGTGGTGTATCCTGGTTTTGTGCTGCCCTAGGCAGGACAAAACTCATGTACCCCCCCACCCCCACCGCGCCCGTCCCCCCCCAACCCTTCCCCCGCCCCGCCTTCTAAATACACACACACACACACATTCACTGACAGATCCGCATACACTCGCTAACAGAAACACACACACACACTAACAGACACACACTCACTGACACACAAACTCACACTAACAGACACACACACACAGTCAGACACACACTCACTGACACACAGTCAGACACACACATACACACTAACAGACAAACAGTCAGACACACACACTAACAGACACACACTCACTAGCAGACACACACACAAACTCACACACACTAACAAACACACATTAACAGACACACACTCACTGACACACACACTCATTCACTGACAGATCCGCATACACTCGCTAACAGAAACACACACACACACACTAACAGACACACACTCACTGACACACACTCACTTACAGACACACACACACAGTCAGACACATACACACACACACTCACTGACACACAGTCAGACACACACATACACACTAACAGACAAACAGTCAGACACACACACTAACAGACACACACTCACTAGCAGACACACACACAAACTCACACACTAACAAACACACATTAACAGACACACACTCACTGACATACACACTCACTAGCAGACACACACACACTCACTGACACACAGTCAGACACACACATACACACTAACACTCACTAGCAGACACACACACACAAACTCACACACACACACTAACAAACACACACACATTAACAGACACACACTCACTGACACACACACTCACACTAACAGACACACACACTAACAGACACACACTCACAGGCAAACACACACTCACTGACAGTCAGACACACACTCACTCACTAGCAGACACACACACTCACACAGTCAGACACACACACACACACATTAACAGACACACACTCACTCACATTAACACTTTTTTTTTTTTTATTCACTCCCCCCCCCCACCTCCTTACCTCTGGGAGTGCTGGGGGGGAAGGGGTTCATTACCTCCCTGGTGGTCCAGTGGCTGCTGTGCCACTGGACCACCAGTCTTCCGGCTCCCAGCCTCACTTTGCGGCGCGCGAGGGAGCTGAGCAGACCGCTCAGGGGAAGTGCTCGCCAGCCGCCCGCCCAGCGCATGTCTATTAGCCGCCAGGCTAACAAGGCATTTGCCCTGGGCATTTGGGGGGCGGCGTTTTTTGCCGCCCCCTGAAAAATGCCGCCCAAGGCAAATGCCTTGTTTGCCTCGCGGCTAAAACGCCCAGCCCTCTACGTCTTATTAGCCCTCCCATGTGTCTCAGCAGCATCCCCACATGTGTCCCATGAGCCCTCCCATGTGTCCCATTAGCACCCAGCCCTCTATGTGTCCTATTGGCCCTCTCTCCCAGCCCTCCATGTGTCCCACTATCCCCCTCCCAGCCTTTCATGTGTCCATATAGCCCCCTAGCCCTCCATGTGTCCCTATGCATCTATAGCCTATCAAATATTGTTTTTGAGACTATAGGATTCCTTTACTAATGCTCTGCACTCTATGGAAAATTATAAAAATTTAGAGTTTTCTTGATTTCAAGTAACAGTTATTAAAATTAAACAAAGACAACCTTTGGTGTGTCCCTATAGCCCCCACCCCATCCCCCACGTGTCCCTATAGCCCCCTATCCTCCATGTGTCCCATTATAGCCCCTTCTCCAGCCCCCATGTGTTCCTATAGCCCCCTCCCCAGCCCCTATATGTCCCATTATAGCCTTTATGTGTCCCATAATAGCCCTCTCCCTAGCCCCCATGTGTCCCTATAGCCCCATAGCCCCCATGTGTCCCATTATAGCCCCCTCCTCAGTCCCCATGTGTCCCTATAGCCCCCCAGCCCCCATGTGTCCCATTATAGCCCCCTCCACAGCCCCTATGTGTCCCATTATAACCATCATGTGTCCCTAGAGCCCACCAGCCCCCATGTGTCCCATTATAGCCTCCCCAGCTCCCATGTGTCCTATTATAGTAGTCAGTGTGACATTGTGGAATACAGATTCGATGGCTGCAATGACAGTGTCTTGGGCTGGAAACAAGGTAAGTGAAATATATTTAAAGGGACACTATAGTCACCAGAACAACTACAGCTCATTGAATTTGTTCTGGTGAGTAGAATCATTACCTTCAGGCTTTTTGCTGTAAACACTGTCTTTTCAGAGAACATGCAGTGTTTACATTACAGCCTAGTGATAACTTCACTGGTCACTCCTCAGATGGCTGTTAGAGATCCTTCCTGGGTCATGGCTGCCTAAAATGCATCCAAACATTAATGTCTCCACTGTAACGAGAATATACCCCTACACGCAGGATCCAGCTAAACAGAGGCAAATACAGAGGAGAAATACGTCTACCGGACCTTAGAATGGCCGGACTTGACGTATATGAGAGGAGACAGAGCCAGGAACAAACCGAGGTCAAGGGCACAGAGAGACAGCGTAAACTAGGACAAGCCGGGGTCTGGTACACGGAAAACAGCAAGCCGGCAAACAGTACAGATAAGGATAAAGCGAAAACGAAGTCAGAATACGAAGCCAAAGTCAATACGAGAAAACACAACTGAACACCACAAGCGCTAAAGGGAACTGAAACAGAAACCACGATAGGGCAACGAGCTAAGGGAAAAAGGTAAGTTAAATAGCTTTTAAACCAAAGTGATTGGCTCCTGTCACTTCCACACCCCCTATAGGTAATTGTATAGGGAGTGTGGTATGACAGGAGCCAATGGGAGCCTTTTGGCAATTAGGCTCCCACTGTCTCTTTAAGAGCGCGCCCGAGACTCGCGGCGCGCTCTTAGTTTCAGGCGGGACACGTGACCGCTTCACGCGGTCACTGCCCGCCTTCCATCTAAAGCAGTCGGATGAGCCGCGCGCGGCTCGTGCAGCCGCAGGACCGCGCGCGGCTTGAAGAGAGGACCGCGACCGGCCCCCGGTTAAGGTAAGTAACGCTACAGTACCCCCCCCTGAGGACACGCCCTCCGGGCGGGTAGGACCAGGCCTGGCAGGAAAACGAGAATGGAAAGAGCGCACAAGACGGGGAGCATGAACAGCATCAGCCGAAATCCAACTGTGCTCCTCAGGCCCATAACCCTTCCAATGTACCAAGTACTGAAGTCGACCCCTAAGGAAACGAGAGTCAAGAACAGCAGACACTTCAAACTCCTCATGACCCTCCACCGAGATAGGAGGGGGAGGAGGAGTATGCCGGGTATAGCGGTTGCGTACGAAAGGTTTCAACAATGAGGTGTGAAAAACATTAGGAATACGTAGATTCTTAGGCAGGCCTAAGGCATAAGAAACAGGATTAACCTTATGTATAATACGATAAGGTCCAATGAAGCGGGGAGCCAATTTCATAGAAGGCACCCGGAGACGAATATTCCGCGTGGAAAGCAAAACCCTGTCCCCACAACATAGGACGGAGCTGCTCTGCGATGCTTGTCAGCCTGAGCCTTCTGGCGAGTAGCAGAGTCCACCAAAGAACGCTGAACCTGCTCCCAAGTATTACGCAAACCAGCCAAATGCTCATCCAGAACTGGCATGCCCTGTGAGGAGAATGCAGCCGGAAGAACAACGGGATGCTGGCCATAGACAACGTAAAAAGGGGTCTTGCCGGAAGAATCATGAGTGGCGTTATTCCGAGCAAATTCAGCCCAAGGAAGCAGGTCAGACCAATTGTCCTGATGGTGAGACACAAAACAACGGAGGTATTGCTCCAAGGACTGGTTGGCACGTTCAGCAGCCCCATTAGACTGGGGATGATAAGTGGAAGAAAATGAGAGAGAAATACCCATTTCTGAACAAAAGGCCCTCCAGAACCTGGAAATAAATTGGCTACCCCTATCGGATACAATAGATACGGGAATCCCATGTAATCTAAATACTTCTCTAGCGAAGATATGAGCCAGTTCCTTAGATGTGGGCAACTTGTGAAGAGACACGAAGTGAGCCATTTTGGAGAACCGATCCACTATCATCAGGATTACTGTGTTACCATTTGAAGGGGGTAATTCAACAATAAAATCCATGGACAGGTTAGACCAAGGTCTCTCGGGAACGGGTAACGGATGCAACAGCCCACAAGGAACTCTACGGGAGGATTTCATACAGGCACAAGTAGTACAAGCACTTATATAGTCAGTGACATCCTTTCGTAAGGAATCCCACCAAAAATACCGAGAAACAGCTGACACCGTTTTGGAAATACCAGGATGTCCAGCAGTCTTAGTATCATGATATAATGACATAATATCCCGTCTCTCAGGAACATCAACGAACAGTTTATCATTAGGCCTCTCGCTAGGTGCCATGCTTTGTTTCGCTTGTATGGCCTGCAAGAGGGACGAGGAAATAGACAAAATAGTAGTAGCTATTATCCTGTCTGGGGGAATGACAGGAGTAACATCAATCTCCTGTTTGTCAGTAGTTTCGAACTGTCTGGACAGAGCGTCTGCTTTAGTGTTGCGATCACCTGGCCTATAGGTGATAATAAAATTGAAACGGGACAAAAATAGTGACCACCTAGCCTGCCTGGAAGACAATCTTTTGGCTTCGCTAAGGTAGGATAGGTTCTTGTGATCCGTAAAAATGAGGATAGGATCCTTAGTTCCTTCTAACAAATGTCTCCACTCTTTAAGTGCTAAAATAATAGCAAGGAGTTCGCGATTACCCACATCATAATTTTTCTCTGCTTTGGACATTTGTTTAGAAAAGAAGCCGCATGGATGCAATGGCTTTTCAGGCGACTCTCTTTGGGATAAGACAGCACCTACCCCAATATCCGAAGCATCAACTTCAAGAATATAGGGCAGTGAGGGGACAGGATGCTGTAAAATAGGTGCAGAGGCGAACGTAGTTTTAAGAAATTCAAAAGCCTGAAGTGCCTCGGTAGACCAAACACGAGTATTGCCATCCTTTTTAGTCATACGGGTAATAGGTGCTACAATGGACGAGAAACCTTTGATAAAACGTCTATAATAATTGGAGAACCCAAGAAAACGCTGAATAGCTTTCAGACCTTGCGGTAGAGGCCATTCTATTACAGCAGCAAGCTTCTGGGGATCCATACGAAAACCTTTAGCGGAAATCAAATACCCCAAGAACTGGACTTCGGTTTGGTCAAACAAACATTTTTCTAGCTTGCAATAAAGACCATTAGCAAGAAGGGTCTTCAAAACTGTCGTAACATGTCTGTGATGAGTGTGTATATCTGTAGAATATATTAAAATGTCGTCCAAGTATACGATAACAAATGTGTGAATAAAATCTCTTAAGACATCATTAATAAATTCTTGGAATACTGCTGGGGCATTGCAAAGCCCAAATGGCATAACAGTATATTCGTAATGACCGGATCTAGTGTTGAATGCAGTCTTCCATTCGTGATTTTCCTTTATACGTATCAAATTGTATGCACTCCTAAGGTCTAATTTAGTGAACACAGTGGCATGTTTCAGCCTGTCAAATAATTCTGTAATTAAAGGTATAGGGTATGCATTTTTGATAGTGATTTTGTTTAGACCTCTATAATCTATACACGGTCTTAAATCACCTTCTTTCTTCGATACAAAGAAGAACCCTGCTCCAGCTGGAGAAGAGGATCTCCTAATAAACCCCTTTTCTAGTGATTCCTTAATATACTCCTCCATGACACGGTTTTCTTGAACCGATAAGGGGTACACCCTGCCCTTTGGAGGTATAGTGCCAGGCAACAAGTCAATAGCGCAATCATAGGGTCTGTGAGGCGGTAATTTCTCAGCCTCCCTTTTATCGAAAACAGTCTTTAGAGATAAATACTGAGGGGGTATAACCGTAGACAAAGGAGGACTGGTAGGTACCTCAATAGAATTCAAAGGTGTGACTTCCAACGTACAAGACTCGTGGCAGGCCTCACTCCATGATTTTATTTGCCCTGTCTCCCAGTCAAAAATGGGATTGTGAGCACGTAACCATGGATACCCTAATACTAACTGTGAAGAGGGAGAGGTGATGACCTGGAATCGAATGGTTTCATAGTGTAAAACCCCTGTGTACATGTGTAATGGTACAGTCTCATGAGTAACAACTGGAGAACTTAATGGTCTACCATCTATGGCCTCAACGGCCAAGGGTATCTCCTTCTCTCTGATGGGAATGTTGTTTCTCTTTATAAAGCCAGAGTCTATAAAATTTTCAGCTGCCCCAGAGTCAACCAGAGCATATATGTTGTCAACTATACAAATCTCTCCCATATATAAAGAAACCGGGAGAAGCAAGCGGTTAGGAGGCAATTTAGGAGACTTAGATATCACACCCAAGGCCAGTCCCCTATAAGGTCTTAGGTGCGAGAGTTTTCCGGGAGTAAAGGACATTCCTTTACCATATGGTCTCTCCTACCACAGTATAGGCAGAGTCCCTCCCTTCTCCTATGTAATTTCTCAGTATCAGAGAGTTTGGCAACCCCTAATTGCATAGGTTCCTCCTCAGACACTTTAACACTCTCTGGTATATTAACTCTGGGGTTAATGGGTGTAACAAAACATCTATTCCTGTTCTTGGTATAGAGCCTGTCACGAATTCTATTATCTATATCAATGAGGTAATCGATAAGGTCCTCTAAGGCAATAGGAAGCTCCTTAGCTGCTACCTCATCCAATATCGTATCTGACAAACCTTCCATAAAGGCAGTAGTTAACCCATTGTTGGTCCAATCTACCTGCGAAGCAAGAGTGCGAAACGGAATAGCATAATCAGCCACAGACCTAGAACCCTGTTTAATTCTCATTAATGCTCTCGCGGCATTCTTTGACCTTTTCATTGTGTCAAAAGTTCTACGAAAAGCCGTAAGAAAACTGTTGAAATCATGCACCATAGGTCCATTAGCTTCCCAAATAGGATTTGCCCACTCAAGTGCCTTATCGGTGAGTTGGTGCATAAAGAACCCAACCTTAGACCTCTCTGTGGGAAATGAACGTGGATACATTTCGAAGTGGAATTCAATTTGATTAATAAACCCTCTGCAAGTCTTAGAGTCCCCTCCATACCTAGGAGGAGGTGTTAAATGGGCCGAAGTATTAGGCAAAGTAGATACTTCAGGGAGAAGGGGCGTAGGAGGGTTAGGTGTGGTTGCTGGAACGGTTCTAGCTAGGAGCGTCTGGAGAGCCTGAGCTATCTGATCCATACGGTGATCCTGCTCTACAAATCTTGCCTCATGGGACGCCATCTGTTGAGCTAAATCTGCGGGGTCCATGGCCCTATCGTAATGTAACGAGAATATACCCCTACACGCAGGATCCAGCTAAACAGAGGCAAATACAGAGGAGAGATACGTCTACCGGACCTTAGAATGGCCGGACTCGACGTATATGAGAGGAGACAGAGCCAGGAACAAACCGAGGTCAAGGGCACAGAGAGACAGCGTAAACTAGGACAAGCCGGGGTCTGGTACACGGAAAACAGCAAGCCGGCAAACAGTACAGATAAGGATAAAGCGAAAACGAAGTCAGAATACGAAGCCAAAGTCAATACGAGAAAACACAACTGAACACCACAAGCGCTAAAGGGAACTGAAACAGAAACCACGATAGGGCAACGAGCTAAGGGAAAAAGGTAAGTTAAATAGCTTTTAAACCAAAGTGATTGGCTCCTGTCACTTCCACACCCCCTATAGGTAATTGTATAGGGAGTGTGGTATGACAGGAGCCAATGGGAGCCTTTTGGCAATTAGGCTCCCACTGTCTCTTTAAGAGCGCGCCCGAGACTCGCGGCGCGCTCTTAGTTTCAGGCGGGACACGTGACCGCTTCACGCGGTCACTGCCCGCCTTCCATCTGAAGCAGTCGGATGAGCCGCGCGCGGCTCGTGCAGCCGCAGGACCGCGCGCGGCTTGAAGAGAGGACCGCGACCGGCCCCCGGTTAAGGTAAGTAACGCTACATCCACCCTCTGCATGCAGACACTGAACTTTCCTCATAGAGCTTCATTGATTCAATTCATCTCTATGAGGAGATGCTGATTGGCCAGGGCTGTGTTTCAATCATGCTGGCTCTGCCCCTGATCTGCTTCCTTGTCAGTCTCAGCCAATCCAATGGGGAAGCATTGTGATTGGATCAGGCTACCACTTCTGATGATGTCAGCACACTGCTTGTTCTTCTGAGTCTAACAGCATGCAGAGTTACAGCTTCAAGCTTGAATATGGTAAGATTTTTACTATATTTAAGGAGGCATGAGGGGCCCAGGGAGGCTAGATGGTGGTTTTAACACTTTAGGGTCAGGAATACATGTTTGTGTTCCAGACCCTATAGTGATCCTTTAACATGTTGAAGCTTACAAGGGGTTCAACAGCGATCATAATAATGGCAGGGAACTTACAGTCCCAATCAAATATTGTTTTTGAGACTATAGGATTCCTTTACTAATGCTCTGCACTCTATGGAAAATTATAAAAATTTAGAGTTTTCTTGATTTCAAGTAACAGTTATTAAAATTAAACAAAGACAGTACTTTATGTGGTTATGCCACAAATGCAACTAAATTAACCCTGTAGAAGCTAGCGGGGATTTCGAGGGAGCATCAGGGAGCATCAGGGCACGTGCCCCCCTAGTTGCCAGTAAGATGGGGAATAATGACTAAGGCAGTGCCTTTGAGGACCCCACTACAACTTGGCTGCTACTCTGAGAGGTTGCATAGCCTGAGCCATTGTCACAGGGATGTGTCCAACCTGCGCTGATGTCCGGTTTTTCGCTTTTCCCAGTGATGAGGACCAGTGTTGGGGAGCCACTGCTCCAGGTCTAGAGCTGTTGGCACCACAGGAAATTCAAACAGTGTGTCCAGGCATGTTATGGTATTCTAGAACATGAGCCCATTGACCAGGTATGTGCAGGGTTGCCTGTTTCTTCTCAGACCTCGGGAGTTGGGATCAACCCTATGCAGTTACTGTATGATGACAACTTTCACTGAAGTAAGCCTTTAATCCACACAAACCTCTATAGTACACAACTGCCAGATGCAAATAAGCATCAAATGCACAGCCTTCCTTGAGTTCGTCTGTAGTGAGTGTGTGTACGTGAATGTCTGTCAGTGAGGTTGTCTGTTTGTATCAGTGAGATTGTGTGTATGCCATTGTGTCATACTTACCACTTCTGGGACTCATCCTTGCTGCTCCGGTAATAATTTGGACACTGCACACTGCTCGTGAGCGTTTCTTTCTATGCATTTGCGCTTATGTCCGAATGGTGCGCCTCCCGGATGAGGCGAAATCAGCAAATTGCTTATCTTGTGTCTTCTGGCACTTCCCTGTGACATGGCCCAATCCTAATAGAGCCACTAGTATTTAAATCCTGGCCTTTCTTGACACAAGTCTTGTTTTGGTTCTTGTTTAGCCCAATAGTGCTTCTGTGATATTTTCTGATTTCCTGTCATTGACTTTGGTTTGATTACCATTTTTCCTGTATCCCTGAATTTTGGCTTTTTTTTTCTCCTGCCCTTGACCTTGGCAATCTAATTGACCATTCTTACATTACTACTCTAAGGTCCGTAATATGGATTATAGTACTCTCTGTTGTAGATTAGGGTCTGTATTTTTTGGGTCCCTTACATGTATCTTGACACAGTGATCTTGTCTGCCAGTGAGCATGTCTGTGTGTGTCAGTGAGCTTGTTTGTGTACCAGTGAGATTATCTGTCAGTGAGCTTGTCTGTGCGTATCAATGAGATTGTCTGTATATATCAGTGAGATGGTCTGTGGGCTTGTTTGTGCAGGCACGTGTGTATGCTTAGTATAGAATGTATTTTTTTTACTCTCAAAGGATCAATATTTTTAATTACAAAAGAAACATACAGATAGAAACTATCTCTGTCTTTCTGTCTGTCAGACTGTCTGTCTGCCTGTCTAACTAGGTTCCGTTAAATAATCTTCCAGTGCCCTCCTGATATTAGGTTCTGGATCCACTCTGGCAAGGAGCACTGGCTTTTGTTGGCATTATGTTTTGAGGAATAGTCCCCTGCATGAATTCATGTGCACTGGCAGCTCACCAGTCATCCTATCAGTGTGTATTTCCAGTCCAGCTTCCCTTGAGAGCACAACAGACGAGCTACAGAATTCTGATTAGAGTACAATTATTTAATTCCATTTATGCAATGCTGCTTCTGTTGAACATGTGCATTGTGTTATTGCTTGATCACAAAATTAGAAAAAGCAAACAAGCAACAAGATTAGTCTAATTATTGACAGTGTCAAAAATGTTTTCCATATAATGGAAGATGTAATTATTGCACACTTACTAATGACTCCCTGGAATTGGCACATGATGTGTTTCCGGAATTGCAACAATATCTGTCACTAAGAAACTAGCAAATGCAAATTGCTGATATATGAAACATGACCCCACTGGGTCTATCCCAAAGTCATAAAAGTCCAGGAAATTCCTCTCATTGTACTCACTGCAATGTAAAAAACACACATCAAAGACAGGGAGGGCAAGATTCAAATTTGAATTGTCACAACAACAGGGTTAAAGAGAATATCACAAATAAATCAAGATTTCTGCAATAACAAGAAAATGGCACTTGTATGGCTCATTTAACAGAACATGCTTTAGGAAATTATATGCTGACATTCAATTAATAAAGTGTGAAAAATCTAGACATCTACTGACTATTATAGGAAATGGAGAGTGGGAAAATGCTCTGACGGTAGCCAAAAATCAGCAAGAACTGTTTTTATCTGGACCAGCCCGGTCTTTCATCTGATGCTTTCAGCCAATTAATGATGCGAAAACTAAAACATGGAATGGCAACAGGGTATTCCTGGCACTATCAACACTACAGGATATAAAATGCTCCTTTAACCCCTTAACAGAATAATTTTCTTTAAGCATGAGTGGGATAGGCATAAGGCTATCCTAACTATAAGATAAGGCTAGGGACTAATGAAAGTATTTAAAAAATTGGATAGACTAGATGGGCCGAATGGTTCTTATTTGCCATTACATTCTATGTTTCTATGTTTCATGGATATTCTTCTCTATAGGACCCATGACGGTATAATTCCATCATGGGCTAAAATTAACCCCAGATAACCGTGGCATGGGGGATCGTGTAGTTAATGCTGTCGCTGGGTGCCTCGGTGTGTACAAGAGCAAAGAGAGCAGAAGTGCAAATTGAAATTTTATAATTAGTGTTAACATATTTATTATGTTAGGAGGTGATATAGCAGAAAGCAGAGAGGAGGGTAAGAAGGGGAGAAGGCTGAAGAAACTCTCTTAGCAAAAAAGACATTCCCAACAAAGGAAATAATAGAGTTTTTAAATGTTTATTACATATTTTACAATCCTTTCCTAATTTATTTCAGTTTGTATATTTGTCGAAAAGTGTTTGCTTGCTGGTTTAAAAAAATTGTCAAGTGATGCATGTACCTTTAATGTTTTTCTAATTGCACTGTTTGAGTTCTACCCTTATGTAATGTCGAGCTTCTACATATGCAATCGCTTTTTCCATTGTGCCTACTTATATGCAGATTATGTACACCTGACTCTTTTTTTCACTAAAAAGATGCTACACAAAGTCTTCTATGGAACCTGCGCACCCAGTAGATAAATAAAAGCAGGTATTTTGTTTGACGGTAATCAGGGCCGGTGCAAGGACTTCTATCTACACAGGCGAAGAAACATTTTGCTGCCCCCAAAATTTATCTTCACCTGTCTGTCTAATATTCCCACTTTTGCCCCTCTTACCCATGCTTTTGCCCCTTTTGTGCATCTTACCACCTTTTTCTCTTGTTTTCCCTTTTTGTATATTGCATCCCCTGTTTGGCATTCTTTTTCATGTGTTTTGTGTCTTCATCCTACTTTTCTTTACCCCTTGCGTCACACACACACTGACCGTTACACACACACACACACTGACCATTACACACGCTGCTTATACACACACTGGCTCTAACGCACACAGTCTCTTACACACTTGCACTGCTTATACACACTCACTGGCTCTAACAGACACACACAAACAGTCTCTTACGCACACACTGCCTTACACACACTCACTGGCTGTAACACACACACAGTCTCTCACACACACACTGCTTTACACTCACACAGTCTCTTACACACACAGCTTATAGACACATACTCACACTAACTCTTACACACACACACTAACTCTTACACACACACACACTGGCTCTAACACACACACACACACACACACACACACACACTGGCTCTAACACACACACATTAACTCTTACACACACAGACACACACACTAACTCTTACACACACACTTACTGTTTCTTATAGTTGCTAAACAGTGGTCCCGCTGCACTGTTGTAGCGTTCCTCCTCTCTCCACAGCAGTTGGCCGCCAGGATATGATGTCATGTATCCCAGCGGCCTGTAGCTCAGGAAGAGATTTGCTGCGGTTGCTCCTCGCTGTTCCGCCCCCTTCCCTCAGTGGCTGCACGTTTCCCAGTTAGCTGGATAGATTGCTGCAGAAATTGACTGGCTGGAGCAGAGTCCTCCGTGCTCCCGCCGGTCACTCAGACATTTTTGCGCCCCTCGGGTCTGTGCGCCTTAAGGCGGCCGCTTGTGCCACCTTATGGTAGTGCCGGCCCAAATGGTAATAATGTTACTTTATACTTTCTTTAACAAGTCATCAATTAAGACTGGATTGCATACCTCCCAACACTGTCATCCTGAGAATGTGACGTGATTACATCACTAGCTTCATCCCCAAAGGGGCAGACCCTTATGGGAAGGTCCACCCGAGTTAATGGTAGCACAGCCTGTGTACACGTCAGACTGCCTGTCCATCATTCAGGCTGGTTCATGTGCGCGTGCAATGATTGTTGGGGACAGATCCCTGGTGTCTCTAAAAGTGGGACACCAGGGTACTGAGGCAGGATGGTGGGACAGGATCCTGTAAATCAAGACTGTCACAAATTGGACCAGTTGGGAGGCATTTGCATAGTGTGAGGGAAGGTTATTAGAAAAGATACAACATAGTGACAGCTGTACAGAGCAGATGGAGATGATAACAGTCAGAGAAGGAGGAAAGCCAGTATACCACAGACACCATGAAGCTGAAGATAGATAGAAATACATAAATAGTATAATATAGTAATATATAACATTGTCTCTATCACTCTTAGAGTCTTAATGCTGGCAGAGTTGTGTATGTTTTTAAAAATAAAGCTTACTTGAATTTTCAGCTCCAGACTCATGAAACCTCTAATACAGTGCTGAGTTTTCAGGAACGGGTAGATTTAGCCATGATAAGTGAATGGTTGATTGTCATTCACCAAGACACCAACAATAAAAGGTTCACACTGGCATCTGTTCTCCAGCTGCCAATACCAGACATGAAAATCAAGAAAAAAGGATGAAGAGATCCTAATTAGGAGTCACAGATATTTGAGTTATCTCAATTGGTCCATGGGTTACATGCACATAATTACTTTAGATTTGGTGGTTAATAATTAACTCTAAAGTAACCAGAAGACTGTTGCATGACCTTATTCTTGGAAATCCAAACTCCTGAGCAAATAATTGTCTTTTCAATGTACATATTAACCCCACACCATGCTGTAACTGCAGCGCTAATCCCAAATATTTGATAGCACATGCTCGCTTTATAAATATATGCATGCAGTGTGTTCATATACAAACATAAAGTCCAGATTCATGTGTGTATTGCAGGAAGTAAAACAACCATTTGTGAATAAGTGCAATGTAACATGAAATGCTCTAGGAGTCTTACTTTTTTATGTGCTATTTTTGCTTCATCATTGCCCTCTATTCCCCATGTCACGCTTCCCCCATCATCTCCCTGGATTCCCCATGCACTACCCTCATCATTACCCTCTATTCCCCATGTCACGCTTCCCCCATCATCTCCCTGGATTCCCCATGCACTACCCTCATCATTACCCTCTATTCCCCAGGTCACGCTTTCCCCGTCATTGCCCTTTATTCCCATGCCATGCTTCCCCCATCATTGCCCTCTATTCACCATGCCACGCTTTCCCCGTCATTGTCCTGGATTCACCATGCCACGCTTTCCCCGTCATTGTCCTGGATTCCCCATGTCATGCTTCCGCCATCATTGCACTGGATTCCCCATGTCACGCTTCCGCCATCATTGCACTGGATTCCCCATGTCACGCTTCCGCCATCATTGCACTGGATTCCCCATGCTTCGCTTCTTCCATCATCACCCTGGATTCCCCATGCCACATTTCCCCCATTATTTCCCTGGATTCCCCATGCCATGTTTTCCCCATCATTGCACTGGATTCCCCATGCCGCGTTTCCCCCATTATTTCCCTGGATTCCCCATGCCACGTTTTCCCCATCATTGCCCTCTATCCACCATGCCACGCTTTCCCCGTCATTGCCCTGGATTCCACATGTCACGCTTCCCCCATCATTGCACTAGATTCCCCGTGCCACGTTTCCACCATCATCGCCCTGGATTCCCCATGCCACGCTTCCACCATCATTGCCCTCTATTCACCATGCCACGCTTTCACCGTCATTGTCCTGGATTCCCCATGTCACGCTTCCCCCATCATTGCACTGGATTCCCCATGCCACTCTTCCCTCATCATCACCCTGGATTCCCCATGTCAATCTAGCTAGAAACATATTTCCAGCAGGAGATAGGAAAATATGGACATGCTAACTGCTGAGTTAAATATGAGCTTTAGTGGTGTTTCCAAGTTGTATTGCCAGAAGGGAGACCTGGTCCCAGCCTTGATATCAGCCTATGCCTTGCAGGTTTCTGGCAGAGACCCCCAGCTGGAGTCCCAGTAGTAGGCCCATCAATCCACGTGAGTGGTGGTGTGTGATCACCGTGTGGCAATGGGGTAAGTCCCTTGTGATCATAGGGATTTCCATGACCTTGTGTGATTCTGGAGTCAGTCCCATCACCTGTGCCACCTGCCCCATGATAGGACGCGGACTGGGACTGTGTGCCATTCAAGTCTGGGTATAATAAAGGCCTGCTGCATGGCCGCACATTGAGAGCCTGCAGTGTGCATCCAATCTCCGCGTATTGTGGTAATCAGGCACTTCATCAGTATTTGCCTGAGGGACTCGACAAGTCAGTGCAAGTGACAGTGGATGTAGCTGGCATCTCTGTGGGAGTCGTAGGAGGACGCGGCGCCCGCCATCTTGAATGTGCTGGACTGCTTCGTGAGTGCTTAGCAGGTATGCTGCAATCCATCAGCAGTATTAGGGAGCCCCTAGCGAGTGGATTGGGATCACCCCCACCGGTCAAAAGGGGGGGGAGGGGAACGGGGCACCAGTCAGCAGCACAGGGCCAGGCGCGGAGATCAGCCGCTTCTTCACTGCCCAGGGCTCACCAGGCCTCCAAACCAGTTCGCTGTCTACTGGCAGCGTGGACATCTGAAAACACGCTTTTGGGACACCCCAATTGTCTCAGGAACTCCCCAGGGTGAGAGAGAATCATCAATAGGAGTGCATAACATAGCAATTAGTGCTCGTAGTAGTGGATGTGCCGGAGCTCGTTCAGAGTGCGTCCATTAGGCATGATAGTCAGGCCCCGCCCCCTGATGCTATTTTTTTTTATTTTATTTATTTATAGTCAAGAATTATCATTGACATTACAATCTAGTTTAGCAAGTACACCCAGGACACTCATTACAAATGAGAAGGAGGAAAATAAACTTTAATTTCTCCTATTTACTGTATGCTTAATCTATGCTGACTGCTAGGTGCAGAGTTTATAACAATGATTGACAGAGGGACACAGCTGACATGGAACAAATGGTTTAATTTTCAATCAGATAATAACTTACTTCAAAAGTTTTCATCTTCTGCTCTATAAATGTAAACTTGAATCACACACAGGAGGTTTGTGCCAAGTCTAGCAGGCTATTAACAGAGCAGGAGATGAAAAATTCTAGATTAGGCAAACTGTGCAATAGTGGAAGTGTAAACAGCAGATCTGTTTTACAGGAAATGTTTAGGAAGACTGTGTGAGTCACATGCAGTGAGGTGTGACTAGGACTGTGTACACAAAGTGATTTAACTCCTAAATAGCATGGAATTGAACTGCAGGGGCATGATCTATACACCAAAACTGCTTCATTAAGCTAAAGTTATTTTGGTGACTATAGTGTACCTTTACCCAAATCTCAATGTGCCCCTGTTTTGATGAAGATGTTATATTACGCTGCAATGTATGTCCTATGCTGCCAAATAAGCAATGTTCATGGCTTCAATTACACAAAAATTTTATAATACATTATGCATTGCAGTTTTTTTGGTTTACATTTGGGGTTTTACTTTCTAACATACAGCACCTTTGCTCATTGGTTTAAATCCTGGTGAATAGCAGTTTGCCTTCTTTAACTTAGTTTTATGAAAAGATGTACTTAAAAACACAGCAGCCTTACAGACCAATAATAATAAAAGTAGAAATTAAAGAGACTGTTCTGTGGTCACCTTCCAAAGAAAAACATGACTATTTCCATGATTTGTTAGTGTTGTCTTTAGTCCGTATTTGCTGACACAATTTTCTGGTTACAGTCAGTACTTCATATCTGACTGCTAGACAATGAACTTGTGTTCTCAAACTATTGTCTCTGTTGAGAGACTGCTTAAATGCAGTCAGTGTTTTTCACTTTGCTGAAATTATTAATAGCACTTACTGGACCTGAAGTAGATTAGTCTGTGCTGATCTTGAGCAGCTGTATAAAGGAAGGACAAACATACAGATAACTGTGTGAGCTATAAAAACAAATATGTTTTGTTTTGTACAGAGCTGCCTTTTCCAGCAAGAGAGGAGGTTGGATCTTTACACAATGACTAGAGCTTTCAAGTGTCTTAAAACTGACATACATTCTGATGTTTTCTAAAAAGACTTCTGCTTGATTGCATTGGTAAATAAAAGCAATATAGTTAAAGCTAGGACCACAAATTATAGACTTTATCACAATGAAAATATAGTGTCTAATGTGAAAATGGAAGAGCATTGGCTTCCCAAAAGACAGATGAATTTCAATCAGATTCCAATAGAACATCTTCTGCCTTATACTGGTTTTACAAAATGATATGAGAAAAAGTGAAATCCTTTAAAAAAGGAATTGAAGGACAAAATGACATCTAAATTTAAGCATTTTACAAATATAATATGACAGCTTATTGAGAAAGCATAAAATATACATGTCAGTGCTGCCTTTACCGTAAAATCCTCTCTTTAACCTATACGTTACCTAACTCTCTACACACTAACCCCTACTTTGCCCTAACACACAACACTAAACAGAAACACGTACACTACATATTTAATTCAATTTCTCAATTTGAGATATAAGACATTTGTCCCCACTCTGTAGAGACTATGAGCATATGGGTGTTGAGAACAGTCTGCCTCCATATTATGTCAATATTCCTTCCTTTTGCTCTCAAATAGTTGGCAACCAGGTATGAATCCCACTTGGTCAGCGTCTATTAGTTTAGGTATGAGTGGATTAAGTCTATCCGCTAGGACTTTTGCCAATATCTTGGAGTCATGGATAATAATAGATAAGGGGCAATATATGTTCAGGCAATAAAGGGTCCTTTCCCGGTTTTAAAACTATGGTGGCCAGGGACATTTCTCTATTGGGGATCCCTCCCAGGGACATGTCTCTATTGGGGAGCCCTCCCCTCCATGAAGGTGTTAAAGAGTGACTCCAGTTTTGATGTCAAATCTTCTATGAACACTTTATAATAGCTCCCATCAAGGCCATCTGGTCCTGAAGCTTTATTCCCCTTTAAATGCGAGATCATGTTTTCTGTTTCTTTACAAGTAATTCTGTTGTTAAGGATGTCCATGGCTACCGGGTTAATCTTAAATAGATGCCGTGTGAAGAGGAAGGAGCGGATACGCTTGTCTTCTACAGATTGGGTTGTCTGATCCTGTGGGGAATGATATACAGTTTTTTTTATAAAACTCTGTAAATACCTCAACTATATTTCTTGGATTAGTTTTTATTGTTCCGTCTCTATGTGTAATGCTCGTTATGTAAGTGTGCCTCTGCTTTGGTCCAAGCGATCTCGCCAGGATCGTATCCATTTTATTGGCCTTCTCATAGAAGGTCTATTTGGACCACATGATAGACCTGGCCGTATCTTCGACAAGCAATTCACAAACTGACATTCGTACCGCATTTAATTGTGGCAGTATATCAGCAGTGGGGTTTGTGTTGTGCCTCTGTTCCAACGAACGCAGTGAGTCCAATAAAGTGGTCAACATTTGGGTTTTGTGTTTCTTTTTGACTGTTGCCAACCATATAAAAGTACCCCGAATAACTGCCCTGTGGGCAGCCCACATGATTATGGCAGGCCTTTTAACTGTCCCAATTTGCGTATCCTGTCCCACCATCTGGCTTTGTTCCCTGGTGTCCCCCCTTTTGGGGACACCAGAGAACTGTCTTTAACAAGCATATCATTGGTGCTTTAACCCCTTAAGGACCAAACTTCTGGAATAAAAGGGAATCATGACATGTCACACATGGCCTGCCTACTTTTACCCCTCCCACTGGGTCCCACTTCTCAGGACGCTAAAGTCGGGTGGTATGCTATGGTCGTATGAAATTGTGTACTACAACAAACACATTTAAAAGGAAATCTGCCTTTATAATCATTTACCATACTTACCTCATATTTAATACACCTAATTCGAATATGAATGATTGCATAGTTGGTGAGTAGATTTGGGGGTATCTTAAATTAATGCTTCAAGACCTCTGGTAACACCTACAATTGCTAAGAGAAAAACAAGTAGATTGTTCGAACCTGCAGTAAACCTAGCTCAAAGTTTGAAATTTATTTGACCTTAAAACGCTTTTTGCTCTGATGTTTTTCTGAAGATTTTTGTTTTAAACTATGCATTTAGTTTTTCCCTTCTTACAAAACATCTGATTGTAATGTGGGTGAAAGGTGAGGTTGTTTCATGCTTTTCTTTTAGTTTTTGCTGAGCATGACTGAGATAAGCTATAAACACAGAACCATTGGAACAGCTGTCTGTCATGCCCTTTGTTAAAAACAAACATTATGTACAAAAATAATAGTTTTACTGACAGCAGCCATTATGCAGACTGCACCAATTCATCTATCTGAATTGGTTATTTTCTATTTGCTTATTTTAGCTGTATTTGAACACGCTTTAAAAGCACTTTTAACCCCGTAAGGACCAAACTTCTGGAATAAAAGGGAATCATGACATGTCACACATGTCATGTGTCCTTAAGGGGTTAAACACCATATGAAATCAGGAGAACACATCTCTCAAATGCCACTATTTAGAACAGACAGACCCTATTTTGGTCCATATCCTCTTGTCCCTCTTTTCTATGCTAATATCACGCTTTTCTAGTAGTTCCATATTATTAGTGTTTAACAGACCTCCTTTGACATAAAACTCAGAGTAATGTGCCTTTAAACTACAATAAATGTGTTTAGATATAAGTCTGTGTAAATAAGATACGTTGTTCTTGTAATAAATTGCATTTTAGTAGCATAAATCGTTAATAGTAAGTTAAAATCTTTCAGAACAGTACTGCCCCAAGTAAAATACCCAATCACCCCCCCAAAATGAAAGTGTCCCTCTTTATCCATTTGAAATGTTGAGAGGTATGGTAGAATGATCAGCAGAGTTACTTCATTACACACATACCTTAGAGCAGTGGTTTAATACACTGATACAACTGTTTTTCATTTTGTACCGATGAAGGCTTGTACTCTCAGGTTGTGGTATTTTGACAAGAAAACCAGCAGGTCTTCCATGGGGTTTCCTTTAGGTGACTGAAAAATACAGACATGATTCAAAATAATATTTTAAGACATGTATTCAATATACTCAATATACACATATGGATTTATAATAATTACAAAGAAATACTCCCTCACCTTATTAACACGGTTTTGCCTTCATTGGTGGCAAGACATCCCACCATCCATTGGGCAATAGATAGATAAAGTGGAAGATATCTGTTCAGTGGGATTATTTGTCACATCCACACATGGCTATACTGAGAAGGTGGATATACTCTGGCTTGTCTGGGACAGTTTTCATAGATTTAGATCCCTTACAAAATTCAAGGCTGTCTGTACGAGCTGCCTTTGTGGAACACAACTATCTAATTTTAGTCCAGCACTGTTTTTTCTTTTTTTTTCATTTAATGCTTTGTCTTTGTTATTAAACCTTTATTATGGAATTGCCTTTCCTTCAACCCCTTCCCCCCTTTTCTTCTTTTCCTGTTTCCCACAACCTTGGACATGCTAGACACTAAAGATTAGCATTGCCCTTGCGGCAGTTGAGTGCAGTTTTTACATGAATTTCTTATGTCTTATTGATAATGCATTTTTTATCTGTGATGCTTGTATGTATCTTGTTTTCTGTAAAATAACACTTCAATAAAAATAAAAAGTTAAACAAAATGCAAAAAAAAAAGCTTTTAACAAATAATACATTATACTATAAGAATGTATTGTCTTTTTTGTAGAAATCAGTCCATGTGAACTAAAATGAACTTTGGTTTGTTAGAGCAGAAAATTGGCCCAAGACTGAGGACCCGACACCAGGAGGCTTGCCCTGTATGCCACCAAGTGCGATGCCCCTCCATACAGTCTGCCCTTGGAGAGCGCCATCACAACCTCCTGTCTGGAGTTCCGTCGGGTGTAGAGCTGCAGACTGAGGCATCTTGTGATCTCCAAATAATCAGAGCGCTGCAGCAGGTTACAACCCTACACCCTGTCACTCCACATCCACCTTGTCACAGCCCCACCACGTTGTCGCAGCCCTCCATCTTGTCATAGCCCCTCCACTTTGTCTCAGCCCCACCACCCTGTCTCAGCTCCACCGACACTGACACTCCCTCCACACCCTATCATCCCTACACTGTCACCTCCACATGCACACACTGTCACCCCCATCCACTGTTATCCCCTACACATACACTGTCACCTCTACACATACACTATCACCATCCCCAAGCACTTTCAGTGTCCACACACTGTCACCCCCTTCACCCAGTCACAACCACATTAACCCCTCCAAATACTGTCTCTTTCACCCCCTCTAACATACCAAACTCACCCGCCCTCACTTTGCCACACTTACCCTATCATATTAACCCCCCAATCCTTTCAGACTCACATTCTCTCTCACTGTCACACTCACCGGCAACCCTGTCACACTCATCCTCTATCAGTCTGTCACACTCACCCCCTTCACCTACCACATAAACCCCTCCAATCCTGCCTTCCACACTCACCCCATGCTCTGTCACACTCTCCCCCCAACCCTGTCACATTAGCCCCCCTTAATCTTGCCACACTAACCTGCCCTCGTTCTGTCACTCTCTCTCCTCCAAACATCGCACATTTACCCCAACTCAATGATATACCTCTCAACTAAGTCACACTCACCCTGTTACATTACCTCCTCCAATCCTATCACATTTACCTCCCCTTGCCCTATCACACTCCGGCTGCAACTTTGTCACAATCACACCCATATGTGTGACACTAATTTATCCACCTACATGTTCCACCCATGAGTTCGCTCACAGGGAGTGGAGTGTGTAGGGGATGTGTTATGTGTTATTGTAGAGGATCTAATGTGTGTGCTTATGGTATGTAGTGTATAGGGATACCAGTTTGTGTAGGTGATGCAGTGTATTTGTTTGTAGTGGAAGCAGTGTGTGTTTGTGTATAAGCGATGTATTCTGCGAATCTGTGTTTGTATGCATAAGGGATGCAAGGTGTGTGTCTGTAAGTGTGTGCATGAAATGCATTGTGTTTCTGTGTATATGTAAGAGAAACAGTGTGTGTGTTTGCATGTGTGTGTAAGGGTTTGCATTGTGTGTTTCTGTGTATGTGTGCAAAGAATGCATTGTCTTTGTGTGTAATGGATGCATTGTGTGTTTATCTGTGTGTAAGGGAAGCATGTTGTGTGTCTCTGTGTGTAGGGATGCATTGTGTGTTTCTGTGTATGTATAGGGATGCATTGTGTGTGTGCGCGCGTAGTGTGAAAGAGCTCCCTGTCATGCCCCCTGTCCTATAGAGCTCTCCCCTGCCCCTTAGTGGTCTCTTCTCTCCCCCCACCCTCCCCTAGCGGTCCCTTCTCACACCCACCCACCCTCCCTGTGTTCTCCTCACTCCCCCCCATGTGTTCTCCTCACTCCTGCCTCCATGTGTTCTCCTCACTCCCCCCCTCCCTATGTTCTCCTCACCCCCTCCCCCCACCCTCCCTGTGTTCTTCTCCCCCTCCCTGTCTTCTCACCTCCCCTCCCTGTGTTCTTCTCACCTCCCTTCTCCTCACCCCTCCCTGTGTTCTTCTTACTCTCCCTCCTCTCTGTGTTCTTCTTACTTTCCCCTCCTCCCTGTATTCTTCTTACTTTCCCCTCCTCCTGTATTCTTCTTACTCCCCTGTACTTCTTACTTTCCCCTCCTCCCCCTTACCCCCCTCCTCCCTGTGGTCTTCTTACCCCCTGTTCTTCTTACCCCCCCACTCCCTGTGTTCTTCTTATTTCCCACCTGTTCTTCTTATCCCCCCCTGTTCTTCTTACTCCCTCTCCTGTTCTTCTTACTCCACCCCTGTTCTTCTTACTCCCCTCCTCCTTGTGTTCTGCCATTCTCCTCACCTCCCCTTCCCTGTAGCGTGGCCAAGCTCCTCTCCAGTCTGCGTTGCCCGGCCGGACTGATAGGAAAGTGCACACTCAGTGCGCACTTCCTGTCAGTCCAGGCGGGTACAGGAAACAGAAACTCCTGTACTGACCGGAGAGGAGCTCGGCCACGCTACAGGGAAGGGAAGGTGAGGAGAGAAGCAGTGCTGCAGCCGCCTGAGGCTCTTTACAGAGCGCTCAGGCTACTGCAGCATTAGGATCGGCCCTGCAGCGGCCGGTTTTAAAATGATTTAGGGCGTCACCCTGCACCACCTACACCCCGAAATATAGGGCTGAGAACCCTCCCTGACCTCTTAGAGGAATCGACCCTAACCTTCATACAACTATTCAAATACCAACAGCTGATGAGCTTTATCAAAACATTACCACAGGGACAGGCGCTGAAACTCACGTCCACACTATTTTAAGAGACGTGCATTGATCCAGAGCTGCTCCCGCATGGCGTGTTCTTCTTATACTCCATGCTGCAAATGCGCATTCCTCTCAAATTCCGAAAAATCTGTGGGGAAATGGGAAACATCCCAGAGACAGGGATTGGGAGAAAATATGCTACCTAACGCAGCGATGCTCCGTCTTCAGTAAAACCCAGGAGACGGCCTACATATTGCTAACCAACTGATACCGCACTCCCGACATGCTGCACAAGACGAACCTAGATCACCCCACACAATGCTGGAGATGTGGCACTGAGGTAGGGACGGCCCTGCTTATATGGTGGGAGTGCAATAAAATACAGCCTTTTTGGAGAGGGAACCACAGCATGCTGAAAGAGTTCACAGATGAGCCACCTCCCTTTGAACTCGCTGTGATGCTCTTACATCACATGACGACACCGAGCAATAGATACAAAAAAAACGTCACAATAAGAATCCTTAATGTAGCCAGATCATACCCCAATGCTGGAAAAGTCAGGAAACCCCCACACTGGAGGATGGAGGATCTGAGGGCCATAGAGGACTTACACATGAAGTCAGATGACAAGACACAAAAATACATGGACATTTGGGCACACTGATTGCTGACTACGGCGTGAACCGGCAAACTCAATTACTGAGACACCCTACACTAAGACACCTTCTGCATAAAATATGATTCCCCATCTTAGGGATAAACCCAGAAATGAGATGGTCTAACTCACAGCGTAGCCTCCCCCCTCCCTTTTTTCCCCTTTTTTTCTTATCTCTCTCTCCGTTATTCCTTTCTCACTCTTCCTCGCCTGTCTTTCTCTCCCTTACAAGACGGTTTCTAGAAGGAGTCATTGAATGCACTCCAGGTGACAGATCACAAACCCCTGACTCGTGAGACTCCTCACAATGTTCCCTGCATGTTTCATTTAAACGGGACCTGCGCGTCGTACTCCTGGTATGTTACCTGATACAACTGAGACCTGCGAGTCTTTCATTCTTGTTTTTATAATGCTCATATGAGGCCTGTGAGTCTCTCAAGTTTTCTCAAGTTTTCTTTTAAAACCTCACAACTATCAAACGTACAGTAGGGACCTGTGCGTCCCACCCTTACATGATGTGACATGATGTTACTTGCTATTCTATGAAGATTGAAACATAATAAATATTATATTTACAAAAAAAAATTTGGAAAAAATAAAATTAAAATAAAATTTGTTTATTGCAAACTAATTTAGGTTGCAAATTATGCCATAACTACAGTCAGAAAGCTCGCAAAGCAGCTGCATCACTGAAAGCCTCTGAACGATGATTACAAAGACTAGCTCTCTGTATCCAGAGCTGCAAGCCCGTCCATATAACTATTGCATCTTACATAGACAATGTAACCCCTATTTATTTTTTCACTTTGGGTGTTAGTGGAGCCTCATGTTTGAGTTTCGCCCAAGGCCTCACAAAGTCTGGAGTCGCCATTGGTCATGTCCAATGCTGATGTTTGGGGCTTGCAGCCGACAAAGATGAAAAATAAGAAAACATTTAAAAGCCATACTTTCATCTGCCTGACTGAAGTGATGCATAGTAGCACCCCTCCAGCACCCTTCAATTTACATCACTTTTCTGTTAGTAAAATGTTTATGTTTTTTTTCTCTTGCATACATCAGCACCTTTTACATCCCAACCTTTCTTTTCCCATATACAGTACTAACTGTAAAACCTTTTCACTTTAATATGTTTTGATGTTTGGAATGCTACAATGAAACACCATATTCAGATCTTCCACTCACTCTATACCAGTTCCTAAGTACCGCATAGCTCAATAATTGGATTGTGTATACGCCCATAGGTTTCACAGTATTTTCAAACATATTTCAAAAATACACTAATTACAGCAAAACACATCAAAGGAACTGACACAATAAAAAAAACTTACAAGGAATAAGTTCACAGACAGTCTCTGCAGAAAATGTTAATTTGAAAACTGAAAATAACAAAGTCCCCAAACCTGTTCCCCATCTTCCATGGGT